CACTTGTTGAGTCTATTATCTAGGAGTAGGAGGAGATCGGAGCACTTGCATAATTCATTTCATGCTCATTTGCCTATCACCACAGCACTACAGGCTGTAGTCAGTAGTGCTGTGACTGTGATAGTCTGACTACACTTTACGCATGTCTACTATATGAAACAGTGACCTGGAGTACAAGCATTTAGAAATCAGAAATATGGCCCTGTTTATGAGGCATATGTCTTGTAAACAAGAACAGTCAAGAGTTATTGAAGTGACGGGGAATTGATAAGAGTGCTATCCTCCGAATAACGGTCGGTAAAGATGGCGGCCGCAAAATATCCTTTCGAGCCACAGTCACGTGTCAATTGCGCACTTCTGGCGACCTAATTTGCGGTAATCCGGCGACTACCACCACGGCTAGGTGTCCCCCACGCAGCTCATGCGGCTAGGGATGGGGCTAAACTAGATGGCTAGGACTCACGAGCAAAGCTTTAGGAGATGCGGAAGCTGCTGCTCGTGGGTCCTAGCCATCTGGTTTAGCCCCATTCCACGCCGCATGAGCAGCGTGAGGGGACACGTGGCGGTAGTCGCCGGAGAACCGCAAATTAAGTCCCCGGAAGTGCGCAATTGACACGTGACTGTGGCTCGAAAGGATATTTTGCAGTCGCCATCTTTACCGACCGTTATTCGGAGGATAGCCGATAAGAGTTATGAATAATAAAAGCTAAAAAGGCGCTCCTCCAAACCTTTGCCCCATATTATGGCAGCCAAACAAATACCCTAACAGGGCCTCAGTCCTATGCAAAATGCAGAGTTCCTGAGGAACAAATCGCGGCAAAACTAGGATCTGCTACGAATAATGAAACAAATGCTCTAACAGGGTCTCAGCGATTTGTTAATTGCAGACCTGTTTCTGAGACTATGCCGCACTGCCAACAGTATCCCCCGTGTCGCTAGGTACGCGCGCATTTGGGGGGCTAAAACTAGATGGCTGGGAATCACGTGCAGCAGCTACCGCATCTTCTGCAACTTCCTCCAGTTTATTTGCTGTTGAGTCCCAGTCATCTAGTTTAGATCCCCATCTACGCTCAGTGGTGAGTTTAATCGGAAGAACACTATCGCTAATATGCGTCAGAGTACGTGGTCTCTCGGTCCGTCTCCATATTATTGTGTGTAATGTTGCGTGTCTCAAAATTGTCAATGGTCGCTAGTATCGTCTGTAGAAACGCTCAAAATTGTCATTGGTCGCTATTATCGTCTGCAGTGTTGCGTGTCGTGACATTGTCAAGTCCTAGTTTTGCCGTGATGTGTTCGTCGGAGAAAGTCCGCATTTTACACACGACTAAGGCCCTGATAGGGTATTTGTTTGGCTGCAATAATATGGGGTAGAAGTTCATAGGAGAGCCGCTAAAAAGTGAACAATTCTGTGCATATTAAAAAAAAATCATTTTTCAATGCTGTCAAGTGTAGGGGCATAAAGTGCTAGACCTATAGTTTATAGTTGTAGTCAGCATCCCTAAAGCCATCTTTATTTCTCTTGACTTTACGTGATACCCAGTTTAAGGCTGGTTGACCTGGTTGCCAAGGTCATTTAAAAAAAGTATGGCATAATTCATATTCCAATCCACTGCCTTCTGATCTGCAGGTGGGCGTCTATCTGCTACATTATGGTGCCTCCCTCCCCTCATTAAAAGTAATTCTCATTAAAATCATCCTGGAGGGAAATGTTGACGACATGTAAGCAAGAGGTAGACAGTAACACAAATGAGAAGATAATGTCAGAGTTGGACAAACAGCATCCTGACAGAATTTGCCAGAGTGAGAGACAGACAGTACTGGGTATCCATTGCAGTGGACCACCATTGTAGAGACAGCATATGATTGATTCCCCAGTGAATAGGTTGTAATGCATTGTTAAATAAGCATTCCAGATCAGACCCCTTGGAAAATGGATTATAAGTTGCCAATACACAACCAGGCAAAAGTGAAAGGAGTATTCGACAAGGAAGAACAATACAGTGTGCAACGTACAACAGCCACCCTCACTCTGCTTGATGACGGATACCCACATAATCTTTGGGTTCGTGAATATACGGATGGATCAGCACAGAAATGAAGAAGCAGGAGTGTAAATTAAGCCTCCAAATAATACCAGATATACAGCCAAAATGCCTACAGGAAAGTACTGTCACAAATGTGATGCAGAAGTTCAAGCCATCAAAATAGCAGCAGAAAAGCTGTTAAATATACATCATATTTCACAACCCATGGTATTTCTGACAGATGCAAGAGCGGTGCTTCAGGCACTCCAATCTGGAAAACTGCCTGGTATACGAACACTACTCCAAACTGAGCAGTCCGTGTAAGGTAACTATGCAATGGATACCGTCCCACTGTGATGTTTTTAGAAATAAAAGAGCTGATAAACTAGCTAAGGAAGGTGCAAACAAAGAACAACCTGACGTACCAGTCTCTTATCAGTAAAAGAAGAGAATAATCAAATCAATCAGAAAGCCACCAAAACTGGCACAAGACAATTACCATTTAATGGACAGACCAGAGCAAGTCATTATTCTATGCCTTAGAACAGGGACATGTATACAAAATTTAAAATCGGCGAATCAGCCATGTGCACATGTGGATTTGCACCTGAGACAGCAGATCATGTCCTCCAGGACTGTCCCAAATACAATATATCAAGGCAAAACTTTTGGCCAAGAGAATGATCAATGCAAGTCAAACTTTACGGGTCGCTGAGTGAATTACAAAAGACGGTGAAGTTTATACTAGAAACAACATTGCAGTTATAGATAATTTATTTCAAGCAAACGGAAGAAGTTAAATAATAACATTGAAATGGAAGATGAATTGTCTCAAGTTATTAAATGTCATTCCCTGTCATTGACCCACTTCCACCTTGACATGCATTTTGTTAAAACTGACTAATTAGGAGTGTTTCCACTCAAAGTCAAAGTGCCGCTGCCTGATAGGCAAGGAACCAGCAGTCTGCATACAAATAAGCTAGATCTGCAAAATGGAAGTGCACTCAAAACTCAAGTTCTGAAGCAAGACTAAAGTCAAGTGGACGAGCAACCAGAACTTTCCACTGAAGTTGACAGCTGGTGAATACAAAGAAGAAGAAGTAGGCAATACTTGAAATGGCAACTCTAGGGGATGTAATCCGTTCTAAGTTAGAAGTACTTTAAATGCCAACCCTAAGGAATACAATCCATTGTTTATGTTAAGGTCACATAATAATATTATTGAATATTGTTTGAGGTTAGGATCAGAGTAAGGGCTAACCCTAACCATAACCTGAAGTAATATTACATCTTCTTCAGCATTATGAGCCCTTGAGGTTAATTGCTACTGATATCATCGGCCTCCACTCATCTTTCTGGTTGGCCTTCTCTTTCCAGTTAGTGACACCAAGTATTATTTGTAGATATGTCTGAATATTATCTTTCCATCATCTTCTTGGTCTGCCCGACACACTTACGTCCATTTTAATTTTTATTTGAAGCCCCACTCTGGCTTTTGCCAGGGGCCGCAATATAGGCAGGCCATAAATATGGCCAATTGTCTGAACGCGGTTTCTGGGACCTCTCCACGGTGATACTCACCCACATGGTGGCACTTTGTGTCATCAGGTGTTTGTCGCTTGTGTGATGTCCTGGTGGGGTAGAAAGTCAGTCAGTCAGTCTTGGTCTGCCTAATTCAATTCACCGTCCTTTTTAGGATGATATTTTTCGTTATTTGAAGCCCCACCCTGGCTCTTGCCGGGGCCGCAATATAGCCAGGCCATAAATATGGCCTAATGGCTGAATGCGGTTTCTGGGACCTCTCCCTGGTGATCCTCATCCACATGGTGGCACATTGTGTCATCGGGTGTTTATCGCTTGTGTGATGTCCTGGGGGGGGGGGAGTAGAAAGTCAGTCAGTCAGTCTTGGTCTGCCTTGGTGTCTACAGCCACTCAGCTGCCTTATGTATACAGTTTTTACCTCTCTGTCATCTGACATTCTCTCAGTATGCTTCAGCCAAATTAGTCTATTAGCTTTCATGATGCCAGTGACCAGTGGTAATTTAAACAGATTATGAATTTCGTTGTTGCTTCTCACTCTCCATTTTCTGCTGTTTGATAGGTCCAAAGATTCGCCATAAGACCCTGTTTTCGAAAATATGTCCATCTAAAATCGAGCCTTAAATATCTGTTACATGGCAAAATAAAGTTTTTAAAAAGTGGGTGTGTCAATCCCATGCTTCAACACCCCAACCTGGAGGGGCGGATTTAATTTAATTAATATTTTATATTAAATATTACAGAACATTATTATGTGAATTCACTAACAATAGATTGTGCCCCCTAGGGTCACAATTTCAAGTATTGCCTAGAAGTATATCAGTCCAGTTATTCTGATGAAGGTTATTTTTTTTTATTCATGCTCATTTAAAATCATTAAATTATTAGTTTCATTTATATGTTGACAAAATAATGTTATAATAAATAACTGAAATGTTATTCCTTCACAAGACATTATGGTACAGAAATTGTGCTGTCTTTTCAGTTCAGTTCACTTTTAACTTAGTATAATATTTCAAGCGATGTGAAATTGAAAATTACAGTTAGTGGACGTTGTAGTTGTCGTGGACACCTACAGAGTAATCTTCACTTCAGCTTGTTTTCATTCAGATGCAGTTTTCTAAATCTGGACAGAAATTGACTTGTAGTTATTTGAAACTGAAGTCATCTATGGAAAATACTTGGCTACAGTAAATAGTCTTTAAATAGGCTAGAAAATAGTCTTTGAAAAAGCACTTTGTAACTAAAAGAGAAGAATTCTTGGCCACAGGAGCGACCCTGCAAGACACACTCATCCACCAGTGAAGATCTCGAACACAATATTCTATTTTATTCTCCATGCTGCAAGAGGCATAGCAAACAGTGACTGCAGAAGAAGAAGCTGAGTGACCTGTAAACATGGAAGGTTGTGTTTTTGCCAAAGAACTGCTGTTTGAGATGTACCAGTTGTGGAAAGATAAAGAATTATGTGATGTCAGCTTGTCGGTAGAAGGAGAGATCATATTAGCTCATCGAATTGTCCTTGCTGCACTTAGTCCATACTTCAAGGCAATGTTCTGCTCACAACTTAACGAAAAGAAGAAGTTTCAGATCGTTATACAAGATCTCAATCCCCAAGCTGTGAAAATCATCGTAGAGTTTGCCTACACTGGCAGTTTAGATGTGACCGAAGACACTGTTCAGGTTGTGATGCAGACAGCTACAATGATGCAGATACCAGCTGTGGAGAAACTATGTAGCTCTTTTTTGGTGAAGAATCTCCATCCTTCTAACTGTTTAGGAATCAGAGACTTTGCTCATGTGATGGCATGTTTTGAGCTGAAAGATACTGCTGACAAATACTGCGAGGAGAATTTTTCAGAAGTGTCTCAACATGAAGAGTTTTTAAAGCTTGAAGTTGAAGAGGTATGTAAATTCTTATCTACTATTAACTAACTAGATTGAATGAGGCAATGTGGCATCTCATAAATTCATTCACTTCCAAGCCTTTTCTACTGTTACTACTAAAACCACTACCACCACCACCACCGCTACTACTGCAACTACTACTTCTGCTGCTACTACTACTACTACAGCAGCAACAACTACTGCTGCTACTGCTGCTACTACTACTACTACTACAGCAACAACATACTACTGTAAAAAACAAATTCAGAAGAGTTTGGAGGCTACTGTTGCGAATACATTGGCCTGCCACAATGTTTGCCTGGAAATGGCTAATAAAAGTAGAACTACTACAATGAGAAGCAGACATACAACTTTTTTTCTTCCTTGAGAAAAAAGAGCTAATGGAAAATATTGTGACCTGGAAAGATCTGTGTAGGCAAGTATGGTCTGTTATCACATAAAACACTATTCCAGAGATCTGTGGCGATGCATGAACACAGATTAGTTCTCTTTGAATAGTTCTCTTTGAATAGAATGTGTCCATACTCCCCATGTGGGTTTGGAGGTCCCATTGGAGCAAGAAAAGGGATAGACCCACTGCTCCGTAACAAGTATGTCATAAAAATCAACTAATTAGGTCAGGAGTTTGTTGAAATTGGTTGTATTTGGGCAGAAGATGCAGATTTCACACTTGCTGTAACCAACAACACAACATGCCTACTACCCATATAAAGGAGAGTGCAGAAAAAAACAATAAATCTTCTTCTTCACGTTCACTGGCTGTAAACTCAAGCGGAGAGTTCTAGTTGTTCATCCATCCCTGGACTTTAGTCTTGTTCTAGAAACTGAGTGTTGCATGCACATCCGTTTCACAGAACTGACTTATTTGTATGCAGACTGTTGGTTCCTTGCCTCCTAGGCAGATGCACACTGACTTCAAAGGAAGCTCCCAGTTAGTCGACATGCTAGTTGGGAAGGCAGTGGGTCTATTCTTGTTTCCCCCCACCTAAGGCCCCGGAACTCACGCAGGAAAAGAAGAAGAAATGAGTCCATACTAGCTTTTGGTGTAACGTATTTCATGTGTTGCATGGTTACCTTGTTTAACAATTGTTTCACCATCATCATCAGGTTATTGGATTTATATCAAGGGACAGCTTGAAGGTGGCCAAAGAGGAGGAGGTCTGTAACTGGTTATTTGTTTGAATGTTATACATTTATGTGTTTGTTAACTGTTAAGGGTGTTTTAGAAGTGATTTATATTTTCTAGTTTTATTTATTTTTTATATCGTCATGACTGGAAAGATCACTGGTAGAAGAGGCAGAGGCAAACCAAGAGAAATGATAGGGGATTGCTTAAGACAGTGGCATGGAGGAATAACATCAGTAGAATTGATCCAGAACTCCAAAGACCAAGATCTGTGGAGATACATGAATGCCTACGCCAGCTGGCAAGGCACTTGGTGATGATATATTTGTCATGCTTGTGTTTTTTTTTTTTTAAATACGTAATTAAAGTAACACTTATCTTGCTAAAAATTGTTGCAAGAGTTGTGTGTGGCTGTTAAACAGAAATAACAATGGGACGTCCATGATCTTTTGTACCATGAATAAAAAAGGGGAAACAATATGTTATTTGAAAGTATATTTAAGAGTGCGGTAATATTTTACACTTTCTCTTTGGCTTCTGTGCAAAATGTTGTCTAGAACTACTTTTGTTTGAAAAACCAGTTATAAGATGCTATTTTAAAGGATAAAAGGCTCAAATTGGACATGTGTGGCTTGAGTGTAAACTAAACATTAGCACTTAGCATTACAGGGATATGCAAAGGAATGAATGAGTGGATATCCTTACTGCAAACACTCATAATGGGTGTGACAGACATTCTGAAAACCATGTATGAATATATACAGTGACACAGTGTTAGATGCAATAACATGTGTCTGACTGCGTGAAGCTGACCTTAAAGGGGGTTCCTACAAGAAAGGATTATGAGAAGAAGGGTGTGGTGTGTGTACAACCAGTGCATTAGTAGAACAGTTAGCATCTATACCTTAACATATTTTCTGCAGTAAACAGTGCATATGTTATCCGTGTGGGTTCTGGGGCCGCATTGTGAAGAAAACAAACTGCCTTTCCAGCAAGCATGTCATAGGAGTGGACTAACTGGGAACTTCCTTTGACACTTTCTTTGAAGTTAGAGTGCTTTCTGTCCTAGCGGCAAGGAAAAATGAACTGCACACAAATATGCCAGTAAAACGGATGTACACACAAAACTCAGGCTTTGGCACAAAGTCAAAGTCCAAATGGACGAACAACCAGGACTTTCCGCTGGAGTTTACAGCCAGTGAGCAAAGAGGAAGAAAAAGTACATCTGTGGGAATGTCTTGTAGGCACTGATGTCTATTCCTAAACCAGTAATCAGTTTAGTAACTTTGTAAGTCAAAAACTTTTTGTTTCCATGTGTAGGTTTATGCTGCAGTGATGCGATGGGTTGCTTATGATCCTGAGCGCAGCAAAGATGATGTGTCATTACTTATGGAGCATGTGAGACTTCCTCTTGTCCAGTGGGATTTCTTGATCAAGGAAGTCAGCAAGGATAAGTTGTTTGTTACAAACAAAGACTGCCGCCAGTACTTACAGGTTTGTGGGTGTATGTAGACTGTACACTAAAAGTGTCAAAACCCTGGGGCTCAGGCTCCTTGAGGCCCCCTTCCTTCCGCCACTCCCAATTACAAAAATTGCTAAGGGGAATGGGTAACGCTCATGACCAAGTCATCTTCATCATTGTGAAGCAAGTCCTTTTCAGAGCGTCGCTCTCATCACGGTCTGCCTGAAAGAAACTTGGTCTGTCCCCATCTTTTCCGCCTCATGTACTTTTATACTCAAGGAGTCACTTATATCCTGTGCGCATCTTCATGTTGGTCAGCCCCTGCCCCTCCTTCCTGGTACCATGACCATGTATAGTTTTCTTTTTCAGTCTTTCTTTATACATTCCATGTTCTTCTTGTAGTCTATACTGTGTGGCATTGGTAGTCATACCAATCCACAACCTTTTATTTTGTGTACTTTCAATCAGTTTGGGAAAGATGGAACAGTGCAGAGGCACAAATAAATCATTGGGAGTTACCAGGTAATCTGGTTGACATTCAGGGGGAAGGCAAGATGGATATACACTGTTACCAGCGGAATTGGAACTCTTTGTTTTCTGCTGAAGATGGGGAGAGAGTGCTTATGGGAGTGTCCTGAGTGCTGTGATGTCGATTCTTGAGTCAACCTGCAGTCAGTTCTGATACAGATGATCTTCCTTACCACGTTATCAGAAAGCCCAGCAGTCTCTTTATCAGTCTTACCCTCTGGCTTTCCCACCGGCACAGTGTACTCCAGTTTTCTTCTTCTGACATGACCAGAGAATGGGAATTGTCTCCTGCCTTTTAATGTGGCCATTGCATTCTCTTCATGAGTCAGTTTCTTTCAAGACATTTTCGTTACTCTTTTTATCTAAGATGTTCTCATCGGTCATCTGTAAAACCACATCTCTGCTGATTTCACATAATTTTTCACTAATCGCCCAACTGCCCATGATTCGCTTCTGTATATCGGGATAGGATTTATTTAGTTCTTGAGAATTCTCTTTATCCCCTCAGTATGCATTTAATATTTAAATAATCTGTAATATTTTTTCTTGCCATTCAGAACTTTATATATATATATATAAACATTTTATATGTAAATTATATACTTCAAATTATGCACCTAAACATGGCAAAAACCAAACAAAACCTAGAAAATTTGAAACAGGTCTGACATTTTTTTCTTTGTGTTGGTGTCCCTGGGTTACAGTACATAGTGTTGTTTTAGTAGCAGCATAGATGTTGTTCATACTTTAATCTTCCAAACAGCTTGTGTTTTGACCCGCGACAATGATTTTCTTGTTTTAGCCAAATGATTAAATTCACTACAGCTGTTTCCATATATGCTAAACATTACTGAAAACTAAACTTCATGGATCATTAAGTGAGCAAAAGAGGACAGTCAAATTAATCAGTGATGGCATTGCAAATATAGGCAACACATGTCAAGTGAATGAAAACAGAATAAGTGGGTACCATTTCAGCTTATTCTAGAATGGAAGCAGTAAGATATTGATATTTTTTTAGAACATTTTCAGCGATTTGAATTAGAATGCTCCTTGTGTGGGTTCTTGGGCCCTATTTTGGTGAAATTAGATAGACTGCTCCCTAACATAATATAACCCTTTACCTGTTAGGGTCGTGAAGGTGTGTCGATGAAAGCACTAGCAGACAAAACCCACCATCTTTCTCTGTCTTCCACCTGATGAATAAGTGTATGATAACTTAGTCCTGTCCATTTTTTGATGTTGTCCTTCCAGGTTCTTCTTTGCTCCCCTCTTCCTCGACCCCCCCCCTCCCCTCTTCCTCGACCCCCCCCCCCCTTCCCTGTTCCTTCCTTGAAGTACATAGTCTTTGCAATGAAATCTTGTCTCCTCACATGCTCGAAGCTATCTAGCTTGCAACATTTCACCAGTACTAAGAGAGGCTCCTTATGACCTGCAAATTTGTAATTTTGTCTCTGATATATTTGTCCTCATAAACAGGCATGACTAATTGGGGGTTTGCTGAAGTCGGATATGTTGCACCAAAAAGTGCAGATATCGCTGCCTTGCTTTAAGCTACAACACATCGTGCCAACTGCCTTTTTAAGGGTGAACGCAGAAGAGGAAGAAAGAAGAAGAAAAAGTAAAATGTGATAGCTTCTTAGGATTCTTTGTTGTTGAAGAAAACTAGGCACATTACCATCATAAAGGAATAGGGCCAGAACTCCTGACCAAAACTGAACAAGTTCAGAACACAGTTACCTAACTCTCGAAATGAATGAGGTGTTAGAGCACTTTGAGTGTTAAGAGGACATAATCACCGGTGCTGTCTATCTTGATGTCCTATGCACACAAACTCATACAAGCATATAATGGAAAGAAACCACTAAAATTTGTATTCTATTACTGTAGCTATTAAAATTGTTGCATACTGTCTTATTCAAATGTTTCTAAATAAAATAACAGCAGCATTCTTGAAGTTTCATTACATAACTGTACATGTTAGCTTAGTGTGTCTCAGGTTTGTGATTGTTATGATCATATTTGTTCTTCCAGCAAGCACGAGCCTTCCAGGCCAGTTCTTTTCACCCAGACTTGATCAACTTTGCGTTCAACGAAGCAATTACCAGGTCTCAGCCACGTGCATTTTTTTCTGCTGCAGATCGCCTTTATTTGATAGGTAACACGTTTTATGATGGTAAAATTTCAACAAATTACGTGCCATCTCCACAGTGGAGGTTGGCCACAATGAGTTAACTGTTAACTTATTTAGTCGATCCTCTTCTACCTTGGGGTGAAGGGTTTTGCCAGAGAAATCACCAAACTTCTCTATAAGCAGTTTTTTTTGTGTGGGTGCTTTGTTTGATTCCAGTCCTCTGTCAGATAGGGACTGTCAAATTTTGTCTTCCCAGCAAACCCTGGGTTGCTCTGGGGGTCTGGTTGCCTTGTTCCTGTCCTGGCCGCCTTGTTCCTGGCCTCCCATGCCCGCTATGGTGGCCGATTCTCTTTCATTCTGCATGCATGTCCAAACCATCATAACTGACTGATCCACTTGAGTTTGTACGGCCTGCATTGCCAACAGTTTACTATCAGAATATTATGTGGTTGCCCGTGTGGGTTACAGGGATCCATTTTGGGGAAGGGAGGGGAGAGAATACACCCACAGCTCCCTGACAAGCATGTTGTAGGAGGTGATCAATTAGGGGTGCTTCCTTCAAAGTCAGAGTACATCTGTGTTCACCCAGCCTCTAGGAAATGTGTAGTAGAGTTGACACTCTGGGGTAAATGGAGGAACGTCGCTGTAGCTACAGAGTTACGTGCGAACGGCGACCCAGGCGGACAATTCTTATCAGCTGTCCGTACTGGTGGAAGAGCACTTATAGTTTATAATCGTGTGCAATGACGCTGGTTCACATCTCCCGAATTTACCTCTACCTTTACCAGAGTACATTCACAGGAGAGGTGAGGAACAAGCATACTGCATAAAAATAAGCCAGATCTGAAAAATGGATGCACACACAAAACTCAAGTTCTGGAACTAGTGGATGAACAATCAGAAATTTCCAGTGGAGTTTACAGCCGGCACTTGGAGTAGAAGATTATATGGTGAAGTATCTTCCACGGTGTGACTCTCCTACCTGTGTCTGAAAACCACAAGAATGGTGTTTTCCTGAACCACCCACCATAGTAATAACGATACATCTTTGCTGGACCACAATATTATTCACGTTAACAGAGTGCTGTTCTTCTTAAATGAGTTCATGTTAATGAGCTTTTACTGAAGCTCGTCGGTTCTTTCGTGGATGCACTGTTCACTTCACTAGTGCAATTTTTACGGAGACCCCTGGGGATTGTCGCTGGAGTGTTGGGTTTGTGCTTTTTGCGACGCTCTTAGCCGGCGGCCTGCTATTCTATGAAGAGAGACAGCACCATTTGGGGTAGATACGGTGCAGTTTAGTCAGTCTTCTGTACTTTAACGGTTTAAACAAAAATTTTTTATGCGAGAAAAAGCAGACAGAGAAAAGAAAGGTAACTATACAACTCTGTGTTTACAAATAACGGTGTTGTAAATGACTTTTGTCAGTAAAATAATAAAATATTTGAAAAACCTGTTTATAAAATAAGTTTTAATTTAAAATGATATAATAATTAATGCATTAAAAAGATAAATCATTTATCAAATAGTTTAATGGACAAAAGAGATTGAATAATTCTCTTTGCAACATTCATCTGCGGTCTTTTATCACAGCTAATAAAAGCATTTTCTTCTTTCGCAGGTGGTGAATCAGCAAGCAGAGAAATTCTGTCAGAATTCGAAAGCTTCAACCCTTTCACGAATCAGTCCAAACAATTGCCTCCCTTACCAGAAGCAAAAAGGAGCTTGGGTGCCGCAATTGTTGGTAAAATAATTTATGCAATCGGTGGTGCCACAATCTCAGGAAGTTCTCGCACTGTGCATGCATTTGACATTGACAAACAGCAGTGGCAGAGTCGTGGCTCTCTGTGTGAAGCTAGGAGCAGTGTTGTGGTGTCGGTTGTTGGTGGAGAGATCATAGCCTTGGGAGGTCATGGCAGTGAGGGTGTCTTGTCCTCAGCAGAAACTTATGATGTGGAGCTAAATTCGTGGTCTCTACTAGGTTAGTGTTTTAAACAACTTGTCTTTGCCAGTTAATCTTACAGATATTTACAACTAGTTCCCCCCTGTGTGGGTTCCGGGATCCCATTGTGGGGAAAACAAGAATAGACCCACTGCCTCCCAAAAAGCATGTCGTAAGAGTCAACTAATTGGGGAGCTTCCTTTGAAGTCGGAGTGCATCTGCCGGAGAGGCAAGGAACCAACAGTCTGTATTCAAGATAATGAGATCTGTAAAACTGATGCACACGCAACACTCAGGTTCTGGAGCAGGACTGCAGTTCAGTAGTGGACGAGCAACCAGAACCTTCCGCCAGAGTTTACAGCTGGTGAACGCGAAGAAGAAGAAGACAACTAGTTCCAAGCAATTTGGAATTTGAACGTCATCTCGGAACAGATCATGCTAAAATTCAGATGTACCACTGTACAGAAGAATATTTCCTCTACTCTGTTAATAACCCTAATCTTCAGATCTGCCAAGCTGCCAGTTGCTGCCTTTATTTTACCACTTTTGCGGTGAAGGCAGGGAGGTCTTTAAGCCTGAGGATTTATGTCTGCATGGCTAGTGCTGTCGCATGTGAGGATTTTAGTTTGCCCCGTCAGGAAAAAAATCCCCAGCCTTACTGAGGGTTTGAACCTGGGTCTCCCGCTTGAGAGCCTTGCGTGCTAACCGTTCAGCCAGCCGCTCCTCATCTTCAAGTCAAATCACTTAATCCAACATGCCCCATTTTCATAGTCAGAGTTAACTGCTGTTAATTTGTAACTCTTTCTACTTTAAACGTAATTAAAGATATTTTGTTAATTTTATTTTCTGTTCGATTAACCTACAGTTTATAAATACTTCTATATTTTAACCTTGTATGCAGAAGTTGTGACACAATGGAATGTTACTATTTTCTTTTCACCTTGTATAAAGAAATTGTGACATAGTCACAATAGAATGTTAGTTCCCCTTGTGGGTTCCAGAGCCTTGTTACAGGGAAAACAAGAATAGACCCACTGCCTACCTAAAAGCATGTCGTGAGAGTCCACTAATTAGGAGTTTCCTTCAAAGTCATGATGCATCTGCCTAAGCGGTAAGGAGCCAACAATCTGCACACAAATGAGTCAGATCTAACAAACGGATGTACACGCAACACTCAGGTTCTGAAACAGGACTGCAGTAAAGAAGTGGATGAACAACCAGAACTTTCCACTGGAGTTTACAGCCGTTGAATGCGAAGAAGACAAAGAGAATGTTAGTTTGTTCTAATCGCAGGAAATACAAACATTGAGACACAATCGAATGTTAGTATTTTCCTTTCACCTTGTATAAAGAAACAGTGAACAGTGGAATGCTAATGTCTGTTCTCGTGTCTACAGAAATGTTGGAAGCTCGAAGTATGGCGGCGGCAGCTGTAATTGATTTCCGGCTTTACCTTTGTGGAGGTTACAATGGCTGTGAGGATCTTCAGTCTTGTCATGTTCTAGACACTAAGGTATGTATTTAAGTTAATATTTCTTCTTTTTCTCTTTTCCCTCTCTCTTTCATCCTATTCCAACTGCTGGATGTAATAACTCACTTTATAGCACGGTAATTTCAGTCACAGGTGTGAAGCCAAGTTTAGTGCATTCTAATATGTATAAGTAGTTACGCTGTACCTCACCTCTGCCGCTAACTTGCTATGTGTTAGTTTTATTTATTGTCATGCAAGACTCCAGTCACACATCCCTGTCATGCGCCATGGTTAATGGCTCAAAGGAGCATAAACTAGGCTGGCAGGGGATCTCAGACTTGGTTGTCCCCAGGGATGCAGTGCCCAAAATCCTCTGGCTGTCCTCAACCCACCTCCCAATGCACTATGAGTCTATCAAAACTTATTTGGAACATGAGTAAAACCCGCTAGCCGAATATACTACCAAATGACAACACTCAGTTAAAACATCTGTCGATTGAAAGAACTACTAAACTGCTGAGACTTGGCCCTAGATATTTTCTTGCAGCTTAGATGAGCAATGTCTCCTGCGGGTGGTTTCTTGCAGTACAGTCCTGTCTTTGCCCATCCCCCAATTACGTCACTACAGCGTTGAGGCGCACCATGACAATCTGCCACAGTCAGTCAGCTGATTAAGCTCAACTGTCAATCAGAAACATGTCCTATGGCAGAACAGCAAAGTCTTAAATGTCTGACTGACAGAAGTCCTACTTTTCAGACATCCTTTACCATCGGCCTCACTCACTAGAGTGTCTGGGCCAGTTAGGGGAAGCCTTGCCTGATGCATGCTTTTCTGTACTGCTAAGTATCCAGATGAAACATCATTAAAGGTGTCTAATAACTTGGTGAAAAGAATGTACCTATTTGTGTGGTGATCAAAGTCTTGGGAGTTGCAGGCTGCTCCCTGCTAATCTCTGGAAGGCCCAGCCCGTGACGAGTGGGAAGCTCAACATACGGATGTGAGGATAAGCAGATATGTGCATCGTGTGACGATTCCTTGGGTGACCCAGCACCAGAGCACCATGTGTCAGCTCTGCGTTTATGAAAACCTCCTTGGATGGCAAGGAATGCCCATGATCTGTCCCTGCCTTCCCTTGAGGGCCGATCAGTCTGCATGCAGTTGCCGTGGACAGGTTTTCCAGGGGACAACATATGTAGATAAGAAGACAAAGAGAACACCACACACAAAAAAAAAGGCCAAGTCATGTCCCATGAAACTATCTAGGAAGTTAATCTGGTCAACACATGCTTGATGACGTCGGATGTGTCTACTGAATGTCGCAAATATTGCAGCTTTGCTGCAAATAGGCACAGTTCAATTGCGTCACTCGGATGAATGAAAAGAAGAAGATAACTCACTTCTCATGGTCAACTTTGTTTGATTTTAAAAACGGCTAAATGTGTTGTTTGACAGTAATGTTCCTTCCTTCACTTCTTTTACTGCTTCAGGTGTCACATTTCATTTTCAGTAGTCATCAGCACATTGAAGGCTTTGTACTTTATGCCACAAACTGATATTTTTGGCATATCTTGTATGAATGCCATTATTGTGTAAGCATGATAGTACATGGCCTGCCTTACACTTTGTTTAATCTGGTAAAGAATTTATGTTTTGTTATAAATTCTGATTACTTCCTACTGATATTTTCAGTCTCTGCCATCAGTGTTTAAGTTTTCAACATTCTGATTATTTTTTCATATGCCCCTTATCAAATGCTTCAGTCCCCATGAAGGTTCTGAGGCCCTGCTTTAATGGAGAAGACCCACTGCCCCAACAAGCATGTCATAAAAAGTGACTAATTGGGAGTTTGCTGGAATTTGATGTTTTTTGGATAATAGGCACAGATGTTGTGGCCTAGCTGTAACCACAACACAATGTGCCAATCACCCTTTTAAGGGCAAATGCAGAAAAAATAGTAAATGCTTTAGTGTAGTCAGTATCATTATGTGGTAAAATAAATCAGTTTTACTGTTTGTCCAGGTGCATCAGTGGTCACATTGTGCCAACATGTTGGAACCACGATCTTTATTAGGAGCCGCAGCTCTGGGCAACAGAGTTTATGTGGCGGGGGGATGCAGCCAGGATAAATGGTTTGTTTTTTTCTCATGTATCAATAGTTATCGATTTCTTGTTTGTTACCGAGGCTAATAAGAGAAGTTACGAATAGTTATACTGTATTCCACCTTGCATTAAAACAAAGATGTGGAATAAGCAGTCTATGATTAAAACTGGCAGGCACTGAAAAAGGAAGATAATGATGAAAGCAAAACTTACTTTTGCAACAGGCTTTTGTGTTAACTGTTCAGCAATTTGTAAAAAGAAAGGCTGCATTCTTAATTTGAAAATACCATCTGATAAGGATTTTAATTTTTTTCTTACTTACTTACTTACTTAGTCGCTCCTGTTCTACCTTGGGGTGTAGAGGTTTGCCAGAGAGATCGCCAGACGTCTCTATCAGCAGTTTTCTTTCTGGCTTTGTCATGCCAGTTCGTCGCCGTTAAGATCCGTCCGGTTTTCTCTCTGTAGTTACTTGTAATCGTGGTTTAAGGCAAACAGGTGATTGGCCTGTTGTGCCTTTGCATGGTGGAGGGGCTGCCTCCTTGCGGCCTCCATGCAGGCCGTCTGGCTGATTCACGGTTACCCACTACTTCCGGAGACGCATGAAGCACTCAGGTTCAGCCAGACCCTCCTCCGTTTACAGCCGGGCTTGGGACCGGTCTTAGCGGAGTTTTAATTTTTTCTTCCTTATTGCTAATGTGTAATAATTTGAAGTAAGTGTCTGAGTGAGAAAAGTAAGTTTATGTTAATATTCTAAAGCATAAATGGGGGCTAAATATTGCTAGTGAGGTCACCCTGAAATAGATATGTTGCCCACGGCAGGCCTTCGTGAATAATCTGTAGACTTCTGCTGACTGTCTAATTCCTCACTCCAGGAATTGTCATTTCTTCAAATATTTTCTCGGGAAGTTTGCTTAGACAAACTTCCATTTTGATCTAGTGGTGCAGAAATAATATTTTCCTGAATATACTTGTGTTTGAATAAATAATAAAGTAAACAAATCTAGAGAAGCAAATAATAGTTATATTGTAGGCCACCATGCATGTCACTGAATGTGACTAAGGAAGGTTGGCATGGGGCTGGAAACTCTAAAATAGTGTTTCCCATTTATGATCCTTGGACCCTCGGGGGTCTGCAGAACAAATTTCAGAGGTCCTGTTTTTTTTCATTTACAGAACTATATAGGGTGTTGATTTCAGTCAGAGGCATAAGGGAAAGTTTAGGTTGTGTTTATATGTATAAGGAGATACTATATACCTTACCTCAGGAACCAGCAAGCTCTCTGCTGGTTTTATTGATCCACTGCAGTACTCCTGCCACAATCCTCCTGTGCTGCAGATAGTGGCTTATATTGGCCTACACTGAGCTGGCAAGGGATCTTGGAGTTGATGATCCCCGGAGTTGCAATGTCCAGAAATCCTCTGGTTCTCGTAACTCCACTCCCCACTGCTTGGAAGATAATGTCCAGTTACTTGTCTAACACATAATCATGTTACACCTATATGTCCAGTTACTTGTCTAACACATAATCAATTTACACCTATATGTCCATTTACTTGTCTAACACATAATCATGTTACACCTATATGTCCAGTTACTTGTCTAACACATAATCATGTTACACCTATATGTCCAGTTACTTGTCTAATAATACTCATGTTACTTTTGAATATCCATTTACTTGTCTAACACATAATCGTGTTACACCTATATGTCCAGATACTTGTCTAACACATAATCAATTTACACCTATATGTCCATTTACTTTGTCTAACACATAATCATGTTACACCTATATGTCCATTTACTTGTCTAACACATAATCATGTTACACCTATATGTCCATTTACTTTTCTAACACATAATCATGTTACACCTATATGTCCAGTTACTTGCCTAATACATAATCACATAACTCCTGTATGTCCATTTACTTGTCTAATACATACTTGTTTTACTCCTATATGTCCATTACATTTTCTAATACATACCCATGTTACAGCTTTATGTCCATTAAATTTTCTAATACATACCCATGTTACAGCTATATGTCCAGTTAATTTTCTAATACATACCCATGTTACAGCTATCTGTCCAGTTAATTTTCGAATACATACTTATGTTACAGCTATATGTCCATTTAATTTTCTAATACATACTTATGTTACAGCTATGTGTCCAGTTAATTTTCTAATACATACTCATGTAACTCCTATATGTCCATTTAGCTTGTCTAATTCATACTCATATTACTTGTATATGTCTATTTAGCTTGTCTAATTCATACTCATATTACTCCAATATGTCTATTTAGCTTGTCTAATTCATACTCATATTACTTGTATATGTCCATTTAGCTTGTCTAATTCATACTCATATTACTTGTATATGTCCATTTAGCTTGTCTAATTCATACTCATATTACTTGTATATGTCTATTTAGCTTGTCTAATTCATACTCATATTACTCCAATATGTCTATTTAGCTTGTCTAATTCATACTCATGTCACTCCTATATGTCCATTTAACTTGTCTAATACATACTCATGTTACTGCTATATGTCCATTTACTTGTCTAATACATACTTGTGTTGCCCCTATGTGTCCAGTTAATTTTCAAATACATACTCGTGTTACTTCTGTGTGTCCATTTACTTGTCTAATACATACTTGTGTTGCCCCTATGTGTCCAGTCAATTTTCAAATACATACTCATGTTACACCTGTATGTCCATTTACTTCTATCTGATTAATTTTATGACACTTCTGTCTGTCCATTTACTTTTCTAATACATATCATGTAACACATAAATCTAACATTTATGTTAATTGTACAGTTTAAGCAGCGTGGAAATGTTCAACCCAAGTACCAATGAGTGGACACTGGTCAGGTCACTGACAGGACCGCGTCGTGGACTGGGCCTCACTGCCTTTGGAGACATGCTGTTTGCTGCAGGTGGACATGATGGCAAGACCTTACAAGGAACCATCTTGAAGTACAGTCCTCACACAAATGAATGGTCTTGTGTGGGAAACATAATTACAAGTAGAGGAAGATTTGGCTTTTTATAAACTGGTTTTACTGGCATAAATGATTTTAAATATAGTTTTTAATTACCCACAAGTATTTTCTTTTCCAAACAGGTAGATAAAGAATGTTTGCCAGATTCTAATATTTGTGTTTGTGAAAATATTTTAAATATTATTTCCCTCAGTGGGTTAGTTAGTTAGTTAGTTGACAGATTATCATCATCGCACATCGAACCATCCAGTCCATAAGTGTTCAGATCCCCTCTTTAGTATCTCCCTCAGCATGTAATGGATTTTAACACTAGTTCTGTTTTTGTTAACTAGTCTTCTTTGGGCCCCTCTGTAGCTCTGTTGTCTGGCTTCACCCCTTTTGATGTTATATGAGTTCCAAAGACCATTGTAATTGGCGGGGGGGGGGGGGGGGGAATGAAAAGAATAAATCCGTTTACAAACAAGTTGTTAAATTTGACTAATTTGGGGTTTCCTGAAATCTGATGTATTTGGCTGAAGACAGGTGCAGTAATTACAACCTTGTTGTAAATCACAACACACAGTACAAACTGCCCTTTTAACTCTCTTGGTCCCGGCATGCTAGCGCAGTTGACTAAACCAGACTTTGCGGTGACTGAGTGACGAACTCCATGTGGTCCCGGTTAACGCCCAGGGTACGCAGAAAAGCCACGTTCCTTCCAGATTTACGGTATCTATCTTGGAGTCAAGGCCGAAGGGTTACGATATACATAGTACCGAGCCAAAGGGTTAATTAACAACCCATGGTTTCTGGATACTTAATACAAATTTTTTTTGTTTAAACTTTTGGGGTACCAGGAAACTATTACTTCTACACTTTCGGTGGCACTTTGTGTCATCGGGTGTTTATCGCTCGGTGTGATGTCCTGGTGGGGTTAAACGTCAGTCAGCGCTTGGCTGATGTAGAGCTCTTCAATTTAAAATGGTTCGCATGGTCATCAGAGTTGTTTTTTTAAGTTAGATTTATAGTTAGCATGTTTTTTAAAACAATAAATAAAAGCACAGATGTTTTAAAATATAAGCCAATCTGGTGTTGTGATTAGTATAAGTTTCTAATGGCCTGATGGTCCAGGGTTCAAATCCTCTCATAATGGGATCTTTTGATAAACACGTGCTTATTTAATCAATCAAACCTCTTAGAATTTTTTTAAGGGGAAGTAGGCAGTAGAGATGAACATTTGTTGCTATCGTCATCATGATCATGTGTCACATAGGGCTCACAGTCTTTCCCTTCATTCTGTTATATCCTGTGCATTCATTTGAACATCATAGATATAATCCAGTCCAGCAGCTTTGGCCTCTCTTATCAACATTTGACTTAGGGTTTCTTTTGGGCAACCTCGCCTCCTTAATCCCTTTATTTTAGTGCCTGTTAAGTAATTCTCTGCTGGTTTCTTCTCAGGATGTGTTCACTGTAGCGCCATTTTCTCTTTCTTGTAACTGTTGATGCTAGTGGTTGCCCAGACATTTATTCTTTTTTCTTTACTCCTTTTGATTTCATCCCATATTTATTTTCATCATTTTCCTCAAATATTTGTTCATTTGTTGTTATAGTGAATAGGAAAACAAAATCAAAGCAAATGGCCACTTTTCATGTTATGAAACCCCTTGGATAGGGCAACCCAGTTTTTATGGACAGATCAGCACCTAATGCGGGTGATGTTTATATCCATGCAGTGTGTCTGTGCTTCCCAGTACTAATCCTTTGTCTGTAACAAAAGGATATGTGCAGAACAGACAGCCTAGTCAATCAGGTGCCATCCCCACAGTGAAGGTTGCCTGCAATTGATCCCCAACATGCCCTGTCTCTTGTACTCTTGTACTGGTTGTACACTTTTTCAGAAAGCTTCCCGTCCATCTCTTGATGTTGTCCTCCCATTTCTGTCATTGCCTACCTGTTGCTCTCTTGTCTTTGACATTTCCCTAATACAGGGAAGTCATTTGACTGGCTGGTGCAGAACACAACAGTTTGTTAATAGAGCTTAGAACCACAGCACCTTAAATCATGTTTGTGTTTTCCCATGTTGTTTCCAGGGCACCATTAGATGGGGGTTGACTCCCCCCCCTTTCCTTACATACACATACACAAAATGGATGTGCATGCAAAACTAAAGTTCTGGAGCAAGACCAAAGTCTAGAAGTGGACAAACAACCAGAACTTTCACTAGGCGTTATAGCCAGTAAACATAAAGAAGAAAGAAGACACAAGAAACATTTACTCGGGTGCAAACTCAGCCAGTTACATTAACTAACTGTCTTGTAAACAGGTCACAATAGACAAGTTGAAAAAGTGACATTTACTGAGAATTGACCCCAACCAGAAGTGGCAGTTAGGCAGCTTCTTGGAGTAACATGGTTATGAATAGTTTTAACAAGTTATTTTTTCAAGTGTAAATTGTAGATAACTTTATTTTGCATTTCTAACCTGCAATGGAGCATCGACTCTTAACCAACTCACGCCAAGTCGTTCTAGCCTTCGCTATTGCATGCAGCTTTTTTAATGTACTCCTCATCTTCTTAACTTCGCTCTCTAGCTCTGTTCTCCATGTTTTTTTTCTCCTTCCTTTATTTCTATGGGAAAGACATTCTAGTTTTATTGCTCTCTGATTTTTTCAACATGTATCCTATCCAACGATAGTGTCTTTTCTTCACCTCTGGTCCACTAGAACTTGTTTACTTCTCTCCCAAGCTCTACATTAGTGATTCTATCATACCCTTTTAATTCCCTCTCTTCTGCGCAGTCACCAGTTAATGAATGTTTGTTGTTTATTTTTAATTATATTTTTAATAACCTTAATTGTTCTCCATGTTTCCGCTCCACACAACAGTACTGATTTGACATTAGAATTACCAATTTTTAGTTTAGTTATAGTTTTAATTTGTTTTGACCTCCACAAACTTCCACAAATTTATTCATGAATATTTCTCAGCGAGGGAGACCATTTTCTGGTCTTTTGATATGTTTTTTTAAAATAAAATTATTTTCCACTGTTTTTGAGGAATGTACATATTTTATACACCACCTTTGTAGTGGTCGACAGTATTATACACATTATTGTTCTTTGTACTCACCATTTTCTTAAGGATGATGGCCATATGTTTAAATTTGGCATGTAAATTTTAGTCATTTTTTAATGTTTACATGTATATTTTAGACGGTATGTTTAATTTTATCACGTATATTTGTCCATATGTTTTAAGCTACATTTTTTGGATTTTTTCAACATACCAAATTTTAATATTAAAAAAAAATTATTTAAAAACATCTTTGAAGTAAATAACCTAGACCTGACCGACCCTAAACATAAGTTTAAAGTTCATGAATCGATCATCTGTTTCTCAATACCTCTGTTTGTTTTTGAGATTTTAGCTGTCTTAGTACATGTTTTTTTTTTTAAATCAAGATGGCGGCTGTTGCCATGGCAACCATGTTTTTTTAAACTCTTAAGTCTACAAATGTATCAACATACATCCCTACAAATGACCATTATAAAATAATTGGTCTAACATTGTAAGTAACAAAAAAAAAGTTTTCCTGTAGTGACCCCTTAAACCCTTTAAGGCCCCCCCCCCCTATAATTTTCAAGGGTTTTATTATTATTGTTGAAAGATGAAAGAAGGCTTTAATTCCCTCTCCTGCCCCATGAAAATTATTGTGGAAAGGAGGGTTGAGTAACACTGCCCCCATGTTTTCTCTGTGGCAGCATGCCTGTGCGTTAATAGTAATGAAGACTAAATTACTAAGGAGTCACTTATATCCTGTGCCCATCTTCGTGTTGGACGGCCTCTGCCCCTCCTTCCTGGTACCATGCCTTCTGCCATATTTTTTCCAATCCGTCGTAGCGCTTGATATGACCAACATATTTCAGCTTCCGAGACAGGATGCTGTTTATTAGCCAATCTTGTTTGATGTTCAGATCTTTCAAGATGTCAGTATTTCTCTGCTTCTTTGTCTAAGATATTCTGAGAATCTTTCTATAGCATTTCAGCTGAAAAGCCGATGACCATGTTACATGGGATAAAACCTGGTGCAATAAAGTAAATCCTCTCAACATCCAGCTTTTATTTAAGTTTGTGTGCATGTGTGTGCATGTGTGTGCATGTGTGTGCATGTGTGTGCATGTGTGTGCACGTGTGTGCACGTGTGTGCACGTATGTGCATGTGTGTGCATGTGTGTGCATGTGTGTGTGCATGTGTGTGCATGTGTGTGCATGTGTGTGTGCATGTGTGTACATGTTGTGCAGGTGGGTGCGTGCCTGTGCATGTAGTGCTGTGTGTGCATGTGTGAGTGCATGAATGTGTGTGCATGTGTGAGTGCCATGTGTGTGCATGTGTGAGCATATGTGTGCAACGTTTGCATGTGTGTATTGTATGTCCAACATGTGCAGCCTTTGTGCACGTGTGTGCATGTGTGTGCATGTGTGTGCATGCTTATGTGGGTAGTTAGGTGGGTGCGTGCGTGTGTGCCAGTCTGTCTGTCTGCACCGTTTCGACAATGAATGTTGCAAAATGTACCATTTTGTCTTTTTTAAACGTATTTGAACAGCTTTTTTTATTTATCTCCAAAAACAAGCAGCCTTTTGATAGTGATGTGTATTTTTTTTTAAATTTATTGTGTATATTATTTGTTTGTCATTTTATTGATTCTTCACACCACCATGAGTATTTTTTGTATGAAAATTACATCCATTTTTTCTATTTTTAAACGTAATTTGAACAGCTTTTTTTTTCTACTAGAAAAACAAGCGGGTTTATGATGTGTGTTTTCGGTTTAAATTATGGGTTTTAAAGCTGTTTGTTAGCTTAAAAACATAATTTAATATTTAAAAAGTAAGATAAAATTTTTTTTTTTATGTTCATTCTAGATTATAGCTTATACCTACATATACCGTTCATTCTAAAGCACGTTTAGTATATGCTTGTATTGTACATTTTAGAAGCACATTTAACCTACTTTGTATGTTCATTCTAGAAGCTTATTTTATATGTTTATTTTAGAAGCTCATTTAAA